ATTTATGAGACTGTTTTTGACTTAACAGTAGACATGGTACATTGCATTGATTTATCATGCTACGTTCTTTCTTTGACTAGTTACTGGTACTTTTGGGTCTTGGATGAATTTGTCTGAATATTTTGTTTTATTAGTGTGTTAGTTCATAGTGGAGGAGTTCATGGTGGACATTATTATGCATACATCAGGCCAACGCTCTCGGATCAGTGGTATGAACTCTTATAGCAGTTAATTCCTCTTATATTTTTACTGCTTGATATACATTTTACCGGATGCATTTAGTCCTTTATGTTCTTGTTTATTAAATTTCATCAATTGAGTAGGTTATCAATGTTGCTTTATATTTGTATGCGAATATAAATGCTTGCTACTGTTAAAATTGCCATGTAACATGTACTTCTAGACATGTTTTACTTGCGCCTTGCCATTTTTGTGGTGAATTTGCTCAACATTGTAGCTTTGCGTCATTATATACAGTGGCTTTTGTTTCTTAGCTTCTATGTAACAAATTTAGGCCTTTTCTTTTTTGGGGTGATCTTTTCCTGTTTTAATTCATTTGCCAATTTATTTTATTAATGATAAGGTTCAAATTTGATGATGAGCGTGTAACAAAAGAGGATATGAAGAGGGCATTGGAAGAGCAGTATGGTGGTGAGGAAGAGGTATATTCTCTAGGTCATGTACTCGGTTTTTATCTGCCTAAGTAATTTGATTATGATACAACTTGCTGTCTGTCGCTGTACTCTGTTTGTGTGCCACAGTTACCACAGACGAATCCTGGGTTCAACAACTCACCATTCAAATTTACAAAGTATTCAAATGCATATATGCTTGTGTACATACGTGAAAGCGACAAAGAGAAGATAATCTGTAATGTGGATGAGAAGGATATTGCAGAACACCTGAGGGTAGTGTAAATAATTTCCAATGGTTATTCAAGTTTATATGGTTCCTTCCTTTTCTAATTGTTACTACTTTGCATATCAGATAAGGCTGAAGAAAGAACAAGAAGAAAAGGAACAGAAGAGAAAGGAAAAAGCAGAGGCACACCTCTATACAATAATTAAGGTTCACTGATGGGCCATACCTTTTATTTGCTGAAATTTAGATTTCCTTGCACTAATTCTTATCCTTTTAGGTTGCTCGGGATGAGGATTTAGTTGAGCAAATTGGAAGAGATATATATTTTGATCTGGTTGATCATGATAAGGTCCGTTGTTTCCGGATTCAGAAACAGATGGCTTTTAACCTTTTCAAGGTACTCTCTCGCTTACATTTAAATGATTGTTGTGCTGCTTGACTGGTGGTCCAGTTGAATTCATAAAACTGTGAATTTTCTTCAGGGTTTGATGTGTTAAAAAGATTGCAGTTATTCTCTTTACATCTGAACTTTGTAAATCTGTTTATTAGTAGAATAGCCAAGTATATATAGATGGCACAATTTTCCTCATGGTTAACTGGGCTTAAGTGTCTGGTTGATAAGTAAGTCAACAACTAACTCCTTGTCCCAGATGAAAGGAAAGTGAATTTCACATTTTACATCAAGCATTAGACCAAAAACCACTTCATACTAAACTCTATACCTTTTACCAGTGTCAGAATTGTAATAGTAGGCCAAATCGAGTTACTTCAGCAGGTCTATTGTCTGCATAGATTTGCAGTGTCAAGGTTACTGAATACTAAGCTTTTTTAAACTGTAGTAGTATCAATTCACATAAGTTTGTAGCACTGTCTAAATTTGGTTCATGTGCTGATAAGACATCATATGGCATTTAGTGGCCAACATTAAATGCTTAATATTAATTAGACCTATGGCCTTTTGAGCTTAAAAGGAGACAATATATGATGTTGAGATATGGACAAAACGGTTAAATCTTCTGTAACCTTGTGGATATGGACAACTTCAGGATGTCAAGATTATGCCAATGGTTAAACCTATAGAGGAATTTATTTACTTCATGGGTATTGTCAACTTCACAACTAGTATCTTTTGGATTGCTACATTCAGCTTTTAACTGTTGAGTCAACATCCAGGAAGAAGTTGCAAAGGAGTTTGGTATTCCAGTGCAATGTCAGCGTTTCTGGCTATGGGCAAAGCGCCAGAACCATACATACCGTCCAAACCGACCCCTGACAGTTCATGAAGAGGGTCAATCTGTGAGTAGCTTTTCAACTTTTTGCTTCTCTATCTATGTATCTATCTGTGTGTGTGTGTCTATATATATATATAATTAGGCTCCCATGTGATGCGCTCATTTGTCTGTTTTCACTTGATTGTTTGAGAAGATAGCAGTTGTGTGCAAGTGTAGAAATTAGAGAAGTTCCTGAAATAGTGCTAGTTAATTTGTGTGTCATGTGATTGGTAAATTGAGTTCTTTTCACTTTTTAAGATTGCCTAGAATTTTAGGTTATGCAGTTTACATCATTAAAAAAAAAAAAAAAAGAGAAGAAGAAGAAGAAGATAAACAACATTGATAGGAAAGGAAAGATTACAATTTACAGGTTCATTGCTGGCCTTACAAGAAGCAGGATAACAATGCTTATTATATCGAACTTGTGTTACTTGTATGCCTTATTAGTTGTCTGTGGTAAGTCTGTTATAGGTGTTTGCTGGTGATTATTGCCTCAGTTGCCTTCTGCTCATACTCTTCAAATGTTTGTAGGTCGGGCAACTGAGAGAGGTATCAAATAAAGCAAATAATGCGGAGCTAAAACTGTTTTTGGAAGTAGACTTGGGCCTGGTAATTTGTCATTAGCTTGTCTTTTGTGTTTACTTCAATTTTGTGCATATATTTGCTTATGCATTTTATGAGCTTTGTGCTATGAGCTTTAATTGAGTTATGCTATGCTGTGTTGCAGGATTTGCACCCTGTTCCTTTACCTGAGAAAGCTAAGGATGAGATTCTTTTGTTTTTCAAACTTTATGATCCTTTCAAAGAGGAATTGCGGTATGAATAAATTATTTTGAGACAAATATTTCACACACCTTTTTTTTGGGTGCTTGGCTGCAGTAAATACTACAAGTAGGAACGTTCCCCTTGATTTGCACTAAAATTTAGAGCATTAGGATAATATTGTCTACTTTTAAGTTAATCTGCACCTTTGGTGTCGATACTTGCACATATTATGGGTAACATAGGAGATAGACAAGATAACTTTCGCTATAAGAAGAAGCAGACTCATTATTATGCAAAAGATTCGTAAGGCCAAATCAATACCAAATATTTCATTAATGCTCTCCATATACGGCTCTTGGTACCTTCATCTGGTTTCTCTTATAAGTATCGCATCTTTCCTGATGTAGCATCTAGCTCTGTTGCCTTTGGATGTGCTTACTGTTGCTTCTCTTTGTGATGCCAGTTATGTTGGACGGCTCTTTGTAAAAGCCAGCGGTAAGCCAATAGAAATATTGGGCAAGCTGAATGAATTGGCTGGCTTCGCTCCTGATGAAGAAATTGAACTCTTTGAGGTGAACTCTTACTTCTCTTTGTGTTCAATAAAATTTCTTCAGGTTCCTAAATATTGCGAACATATGATGAATTTCTGTCCAGGAAATAAAATTTGAACCTAATGTCATGTGCGAACACATCGACAAGAAGCTGAATTTTCGGGGCAGTCAGGTATCTGCCATCTGTTCTGTTGATATTTACAATCTCTTTTGCCATTCCTTCTTGCTGTGCTATTTGATGGTTCTGTTCTGTTATTGTAATGTTAATTTACTCAACCTGATTCTTCCTTTCTCACAGCTTGAAGATGGGGACATAATTTGCTTCCAAAAATCACTTCAAGGTCAAAATATTGATCAATGTCGTTATCCTGACATCCCTTCATTTCTGGAATATGTGCATAACCGACAGGTAAATCTCAAACCATTTACATGTGGATTTTTTTTTGGGTATAATAAAACATAAATGATTGGACTGCTCTTCTTGGTTTCCTGCTTGAGCAATTATTCAATACTGGCAGCATTTACTTGGAAACAGCACTATCATCAACTTTAAAGTTTCTGCATAACTACACTTCTGATAATTTAGACATTAAATTGGTGCTTGTTTTATGTTAAATCTTGTTATACATTTTGCAATTTGTTAACCTAACAATGAAAGTGGCTTCCTGTTTTGATGTTATCTGTTGCTGCAATTCTTCTACAGTATTTTATATTTTTGGAACCAATTCTAAGGTTTTACTTAAATTGTCTAATGGCCATAGGTTGTGCGCTTTCGCTCACTGGAGAAACCTAAGGAGGACGAGTTCTGCCTTGAGTTGTATGTTTATTTCCAATTGGCTAGTCATTTCATAATTGTGATTGCTGGTTATTAACTTTTGTTATGGCACTTTCTTTATATTATTTTCTTTAACATCCAGGTCAAAGCAAAATAATTATGATGAAGTTGTAGAAAGTGTTGCCCGTCATCTTAGCTTGGATGACCCATCTAAAATTAGGCTTACCTCGCATAACTGCTATTCACAACAACCAAAACCCCAACCAATAAAGTACAGGGAGTAGAACATCTTACAGACATGCTAATTCATTATAATCAGGTACTTAACAAGTTCTATTGCAGAAGTGTATTTGGTGTAACCTCCATATTTCAAGTGTTTAGCTTAGTGGATTGTCTGATACATTTTCCCATTCGGTTGTCCTATAGACCTCTGATATCTTGTACTATGAGGTACTGGATATTCCTTTACCAGAACTTCAAGGCCTGAAAACTCTCAAAGTTGCTTTTCATCATGCTACCAAGGAAGAAGTGAGTTCTACATGTAGATTTTCCTGTGATTTTTTTCTGATTTAAGAGTGCATTTTCACGCTGCAGTGTGATTGAATATTATATCAACTGGTTTCAGGTAGTTATTCATACAATCAGGTTGCCAAAACAAAGCACGGTGGGGGATGTCATTAATGATATCAAGACAAAGGTAAGAGCTGCTGTTTTTTCTGCTATTTTTCCACATTAAGGTTTCTTTTACTCCTTTTTCCTCCAAATACCCTAGTTATTATGATATATGTCATGTCCAACAGCAATTGGCAGGCCATTTACCATTCTTTAACTTGGAAAGCAGTTAAGTGACCTCATGAAAGAATAATGAAGAGCCTCTTCTACTAATTGTTTAATTTATTCTTCCCATATTTTTTTTACTGCTTGTCTAATTTTTACAACTCTAATTTAATTTCAGGAACCTGAGCCAGATGAAGAAGTTGAAAATGAACCAGATGATAGGTTTGGCTTCTCATAGACCCATTTTCTTTAGACTGGATTACTTCATAAATTTTCCTTTTTTTCTGTTCTATTGGTGACAGGACTCGACCAAAGAAGCGACTAATATTCCCAGGAAAGACAATATCTAAGAATAAAAAGAAAAAGAGGGTACATAAATCAGAAAGGGTTCCTCGAGAGGAAAGAACTTCCGAGCAATCCACTCCTCCCGAGCATCACGATGCTCCTGAAGATGTGGAAGTGGAAAGAACCATTAGGAAATCTACAAGAACTTCAGTTATTGTTAAGCAAGCTGAGAGGGAGGCAATACAAGCAGCACTGCAAGCAACAATAAGGCCAATTAAAAAGAAAAAGGAAGGCGAGGAGAAGCGGATGACCCAAGAAGAGATGCTTCTGGAAGCAGCTCAAACAGAAATTATGAACCTTAGAAATTTGGAGCGAGTTTTAGCTAGGGAAGAAGAAGTTAAGAAAAGAGCAGTTGTGCATAAAGCAGTTTACACTGGCCCTCAGATACGATATCTTTCAAGAAATGGTTCTTCATTTCTTGAGTATATGAATGGAGCGTCATTTGAATCAGAGATATCAACAGAATCCCATCCTTGTAAGTGTACTTTCTTTACATGATAGTTCATGTAGTATTGAGATTTTCTCAATTTTTGCATGCATTTCTAAAAATTGTTTGCATATGTGCAGTCCGGTATTTCTGGATAACTTAATGCTTGCGTCCAGTTATCTACAATCCCCTATGTTGTATTTAATCTCTGGTTCCTTGCCACCTTTATGATTGCTCACCGCAGAAAATAACTGACTTTTGTGAAATGAATCTGACCTCTGCATCTTCCAGAACTCTATAGTTGTAAGAGTCTTAATCTTAATGGTTAATTTCTTTATTATCGTTTCATAGACGCAGAAAAAGCAATTTGTGCTGTCACTGGGTTACCTGCAAAATATCGCGATCCGAAGACTGGGCTACCATATGCAACAAAAGAAGCTTTTAAGATGATAAGAGAAGAGCTGTCTGATAAAAGCAGAAGCATTTCAGAGAAAAAAAGCAAGGAACTCCTCTCTGAAGCAATTCCTGAGCAAGGATTTTCTCAAAGACGAAAGAGAACAATGTTTCCAAAGAGAGAAACATCATACTTCCGGCCATTTGCTCGTTTCCGTAGATTTCCTGCTAGTGAAATAGAAGATTCAGAATAGTGACGATGTGAGCTGGTGTTCTATATTTCTTGTCTTCTGTGCATGTATTGACAGATGTTTTGCTAGATAGATCAGGATATTGTGAATACAGAGTTAGGACAGATTTTGTAATCTTTGTTATTAACCAATCGCAGAGCACATAATTAGCACCTGACCAAGATTAAATTGCTGAACCATGAACCAGCCTTCTAATGATGCTGTCCAATCCTATATTTAGTCGTTAACATGTTTCTAAACACGCAAACCCTGTACGCCATTACAGAAGGAGATAATGGCAAATAATATTGCTCTTTGTTTTGGTTCTGCGACCATCTCTGTTCTCACCTGTTAGTGCTGTCGTTGAAGCTCCAACAACAAATCACCAACTTCTGACTGGTGACCGCATCAATGTGAAGCCACCTATGCTCATCTCCAGTATGAGAAACAAGAATTTGAGCGACATGTTAGAGTGTAGCTGTAGGCTTGTAGCTCAGTTTCAGGTGGAATGGTGAGACAGCAACTTTTACTTTGGGCTCGGTGTGGCTTGGATTGCCTTTAGAATCCACCAATAGCTGGAAAAGTCATCCACCAGAAATACTTCCAGCTAAAATGATGTATTTTCAGTTGCATGAGCCCGGTGACTTATTTATCAGGTTTTCGAGACATCTTATAAAGTAGAACAACAATTATGCTTAGTTTTGCACGGAGGTAGGTGACTGCTCCTTGTGCAGAAGGTATCATCTCATCATCTCACCCCGCATCCTTTTCATCTTAACATAATCAGGAAGCATTAACTCGCAGTCAAAAACTTCTTTCGGGACGCAGATCACATCCTTATGTGGATGACATCCAGGAGACGCATATTTTGATTAGAAATAGAAGGATGCAAGGTGTGCTGATGCAGGTTACAAACATGTACAATCGAGTTGATGCTTCTGATATATGAAACAAAATTGCATTCCACTTCTGTTGCTGGCAATGGTTGTTGGATTTTAGTCTCCAGGCTGGAAATCTCCTTCATTATTCATGAAACCAACAGCAATTACTTTGGGATAACTGATCAAAAGAAAGTTTAGGAAAGAACTTAGGGTGCGTTTGGTACCCCATAGAATTGGGGTTTAGAATTAGAATTGGAGTTCCAATTCTAATTCTTGTGTTTGGATGTCACCTTTTCCATAGAATTAGCATTGAATTCTAATTCCAAGAAGTTCCAATTCCACGAGTTGAATTCTTTATCAGACCAAAAGAATTGTGATTCCAATTCCACATCTAAACCCTAAAAAATGGGTTTACACGCGGATCCAATGTGGGTAAAAAATAAAAATCGGGTCAAATTTATTCGCATCCCTCTTCTGTCTAATTCACCGCTTTTTGCTCGACTCAATGGCTCTTGCTCTCCACCGCCGCTTCCATCTCAACTTTAACATTTTGCCTCTCGCACCACCATCACCCTCATTGCCCTTCGCTCCTCCGACCATCCCTCTTCACCACTCCTGCCACCCCTCCGAGTGCTCTCTTCTTTGGAGATTCGTATTCATTCGCTTTTCTCCGCTTGAGCTTGAATTTTGTGACAGAATTGTGGTCGAACTTGACTATGATACTGGCAAATTGGCCACCAAATTTGTTCAAAGACGGAGAGTTTATTGTCATCCATGGATAAAGTTGGTCTCAGTTTCCTTTTCTTCTTCTTCTTTTTTCTTTTTTCCCCTCTTGTTATTTTTACTATCATTGTGTCTATATTTCGTGTTTTACTTTGTGTAGATACTGGATTCCTGATTTTGGGATTAAAGAGAGGATTGATCATATCCTTTCAGCTCTGGTAAGAATTTATTCTTTTTCTCCGTTAGTTCATTTTTTGTATTATTTTAATTTGACTGATTCCTTGTTTCTTGGTTAATGTGGTTAATTTACTTGATTTCGGTTTCTTGTATCTCTGTTTCTTGATTTCTCTTTAATTTGATCAATGAACTCATGATAAACCTTTTCTGCAATTCAAGGTAATGAATAGTTTCTGATGTTAGAATCATATGTTTATGGATGATTTCTTTATCTCAGTGCTCCGCAATTTACTTAGTTTCTGCAAAGTTGGTTGTGGAATTATGATGTGTAGTTGATTGTGGAAGACGAATTCTATTAACTAATAACCGCTATTTTATTACTTCCTTAACTTGGATTTGCTCCTGGATGATTATTCTTTTTGGTAATTTTAGTACAATTGCTTAAGTTTGCATGTGGCTGCTGAGCGTGTCCTTGTTCTGAATACTGTGAGATCCAAGCTGCCTGTCGCAGTTACTACTACGGATGATGCCAAAGATTCTGTAAAGGAGGAAATTCGCTTGAGGTGAAAACTTTCTGAAAATTTTTTACCATGGGCTTATGTTTTGCTTATCTCTGCAGATTGCTGTTAGTTATCTTGATAATTGATATTTTAACCTTTCTGGTCAAGTTGTGCATTTCTTAATGATTGAAGGTCTGTTTTTGTTTCTGCTTCCTCTCACTAATTTGTGGTGCTGTGACTGGAGTGGGTTTGAGTTCAATTATTTAAATCAAAAGCCTATGGTATGCTACATAATTTTCTTTAGAATTGCATAAGTTAACTACTTGAGATAATTGATGTTACTCTTTTTTCACCCCTTGAAGTCCAATTAACCATAGAATGAGAAGATGAATTTGACCATGAAGTTCATTCGTTGAACCATATAGTCAAATCTAGCTGAAAATTTGTGTATAGCCTCAGTAAATATCATCACAAGTTCTGGTGCGAACCCTTGATGGAAATCAAGTTAACCTGGTTTCAACTGATGTTCCTTATTTTCTTTTCGTGCAGGATGAGTCTCAAGACCATATAAAGAGGTAACAGCTTCATGAACTAGCCATGCTGAACTCAAATTTTAGAGAAGAGAGTCCAGGACAAAGTGGCAGCGTGTCACCTTTCAATACTAGTGGAATGAAACATCCCAAAACTGGGCGTTGAAATGTTGTATCTGCTGCTTCATTAAAGTACTTTCTCTTGACCTCTAATCCGCAGAGTTATGCCTGAACATATACAATTCGTGGCTATCAACTCTCCTTACGGCTCAATGTGCAGCTACCTAAGTGAAGAATTGATATGAACAGACAAAGGAGTATTTGGAGATATGCGTTTTTGGCTGGATTTTTTTTTTGTTTTTATGTTTCTATTTATTTACTAAAAAACATAAAACAGAGACAGAAACAGGAGGAGGCGGTTGGAGTAGGGGTGGAAAAGGGAGAAACAGAAATTGGTTTAGACAGTTGGCCTCTTGAGTTAGGATTTATTTGTAACTGATAGTTTTTAGCTTTTTGGTTTATACAGTTGAAGCATTTGATCAAGAGTTTTTGTTACATATGAAGGATTTATTTGTAACTGATTGTTTTCTTATCTTTTTCTTTCATGAAATATTGCTTCTTGATTTTGTAGTTACTGTCACATGAGTGAAAAATTGCTTCAAACTTTTCCTCTCTCATAGTTTTATCATGCCATTGGTACTTAATGGAGGAGTTTGAGTTTTAATTGTGCATAGCTATTATGATGGATGAAATCTTTTTTGAATTTTGCATAAGTATTAGAAATAAGAAAGAATTTTGCTTTATTAAATATATATCAAAACACAGTTGAAAATACCACGGCTGAGATGGGGAAATATTTCTTCACAAAAAGGGATAATGGATCAAAACATGCTAAAGGAAATGCTCACCAAAGAAATTGATATGAGAGTGAGAAAAAATAAATTATTAAAGGCACAAATTGGTTTTTTCTTTTAAATCTTTAGTAAAAATTAGCTAAATGTAAGAAAAAAAGAAATTATTATATAGAAAAAAAGAAAAATTTTATGTAAGCAAATTTTCTTGAAAACAATTCTAATTCCTAATGAATTCTTCTCTCATGCAAACAAAGAATTTGGAATTCCAAATAAATTCCGTATCAATTCTATGCATTTCCCAAACGAAAGAATTGAAATGACTTGGAATTCCAATTCATAGAATTCCAATTCTATAGAATTTTGATTCTAATTCAATTCTAATTCTATAGAACCAAACGTACCCTTAAGAAAAAGAACAACGGGCATTTGTCAGACAACTACGACAATACGATCCTAACGATGACGAGCCCACCGAACAGATCCTGCTCAAGTAAGGTCGCGGCTGTCCTCCTTAACCTTTCTTGATTAGTGTAGCGCGTTGCTGTTTGAAGGACCTGATGTGGGATCAGAACAACTTTAGCTTAACCTCAAGTAAATCCTCTTCCTCGCGTGACACCTGTTGACCTGAACTTTGATTTGGGAACAGCGCTAAGAACGCAACTCCGCTATAACTCCGCTACTGTTTACACGCCCAGCACCTGAGATCGAATCTAGAATAAAAACAAGGGATAATTTCAGAAACCTCAAACCTCCCCTGAGGTTTCTAACAATTTCACTTAACTCCCCTAATGTTTTGAAAAATTATACCTACCTCCTATAATTTGATAGTTTTAGTAACAAAATCTTAAAAATAATATTGACTTGATCAAATTTTTAAATAAATATTTAAAAATACCCTTGCGTAATGAATTTTAATTTATTTTCTATATAATAATAAGATTATTCACTATAATTATAAGAAAAAAATACCAAAATTTTCATGTCCATTTAATAAACAATTATAATAATAACTTTATCACTATGATAGGATACTTATGATGATATTTTATCATAAATTGACATTATAAGATAGAAAAGAAATATTAAAATAATTCAATTAGAGTTTATAAATTTTTTGAGTAATTGGATTATCATAATTTAGCGGCAATTTTAGGTTTTTTTGATATATTATTAATTTTAATACCAAAAAATAGAAAATAAAGATCAGCAAAAACATTAAATTACATATAAATTAACTCATTAAAAAAATCACTAGTTCAACATTTAATTACAATAAAAATTAAAAGTAATAGTGGTAATTTTACAGTTTTATTGACAAAATTTAAAAAAAAAAGGAATAAGAAGGAAAAAAATGAAAAAAGAATTTGAAAAATCATTCTAATTATATACATACCAAACAATGAAATTTCATTAAAATATTTAAGAATATTACTGTCATTTTAAATAATAAGGGAGATATGTGTAATTTTTAAAAGCTCAAGGAAGATAAATGAAATTGTAAAAAACCTCAAGGGAGGTTTCCGAAATTATCCCTAAAAACAACTATCACACATTGTTTGGTCTGATGGCCGAGGCTACGAAAGCTGGTTTTACAGAGTGGATTTGGAATCAGAACAAAATTTTATTTCCACCTTTCCAAAAGAGAATTTCAGCACTATTTGATACAGAATGAGGTGCCATGATTTCAGCAAATGCACTTTTGGCAGATACAAGCGTCACAAAATTGTAGATCGTGGGGAGCCAATACTCATGCTTACCATTTAACTGCTGTACACTAACGGATCACTCAGGTATTCAGGTACTAGCCGAAACCATTTGTACAAATATTGAATGAGCCTGGGAAGACCAATGGTGTCTTTTTCCTCCAGAAACCTAGAAAAAGTCGCAACTGATTTACACTGTATTCAGTCATCTTCAATGGGTTGCGATCATAACTATCTTCGATGAGTTGCGTAAACAACCATACGAGATCAGCATAGACAACCATACGAAGTGAATAGGAGCGGAAATCTTCCTGCTGTCACTGCATTACTTTTCCAACCTTCCGGAACAAAAAATACTAATGTGCAGCGCTGCTCCCTGAATGCAGAAAACGTTCAAAAATTTGTTACTAGACACCAGGGAGAAAAAAGCAATAAACATGAAAACTGTGAGTTGACATGCAAATAAAACTTTTGGAAGGGAATCCATAAAGAGGAAATCATCGCCAGACAGAATGAGTGTGCCACAGTGACAGTTACTTCAAAATAAAATGTTACCAGCAACCCAATCTCGGTTGCCTATGGGTATCAAATGCACGCCTATAGGATCAGTTTCTGCTGTTGTAAAAGCAGCAAAACAAACCCTCTTACACAGCAAAAATTTAAGAGGAAAGCATGAGTTCATGCCTTTGGTCTCCAACCAAAAAAAAGAAAAAAAGAAGAAGATATTATACTGGATCTTTATCAAAACAAAAGGACATGGGTTAATAAACAAGCAAATTTACCTCAGTTACAAATTTATCAAGCAATAGGTGAAGAACTAGAAATGGGTTTTGTTTGCAGCCAAGAGGATAGAAAGAAAGTGGGAATAATAACTGTAGAAGTTATACAGTACCATTAGAAAATTCTATGCATTTCATACCACTATGTAATTTATAGTTATGATGCTTACATAACACCTTGCATTCTGTAAAAAGTACAAGAAAGAAGCACTGGAGTATTGCCATCTATAAAACAAGCATACCTTCAAGTCTTCTAATTACTTCCAATTTATTCTGAGATTTAACTCTTTCAAGATGAGGTGCAATCAACTCATCCAATTTCACCAACCAAAATGCAAATGCAGAAGACGTCTGTGGCATGGTTGGAAAGCTAGAAAGAATATCTTCCATAACACAATTTGACTCCACAGAATCATCACATTGGTAGAAACAGTCCTCATTGATAGCACTGACAAAGTCACCAATAACCTACCAATAAAAGGAGGCAACATTAATGATCTGCATATCCCAAAAATTAAATTTTTAATGACAGATTAACAAATGTTTGTCAATGAAATAAACCAATTCTAGACAAACTAACAAATTATCAAAAACAACATAGCACAATAGATGACTGTATTATTTACCTGCAGGCACTCTGCCAACGTTGAGGCACGTCGTAACCTTTTCACCCAAAGATTATGAGCAGATTTTGCCCATGAATCAACCAATAGGTCTCCAGGCATAACAGACTGCAAACAATCATTTTATACAAGAAAATTTAGTGCAGGATAGATATAAATAAACTGCAACAAATGCATTCATATTAATAGTAAATCACAATTCAATAGAAAAAAGTATTGACCCAACCCACTATTTGGGTAGACATGATTTCGATTCAGTTGTATGACCTAAAAACCTTTTTCATTCACTGTTGCTTTTCTCCTCACCGAGTCAAAGGTAGCTGACTACTAAATGAACCAGAAATCTTTTTAATACAATCCCAGATACCCATTCATTTCTTCATGGACAAACTTCACTACTCTCTGTGATTACAAATGTCTCAAGTTATTTCAATCCTTCCACTCTTTCCCACAGCACATTTTCTTTTTCCATATGCTTTGGTTTCTTGGCATCCTTTCACCAATGACCAACACCAGTTGGATGCCAAGACAATTCAGGAGAATTCTGACTCATAGTCTGTAATGAGAATAACACAGAGGACAACTCACTCTCAGGAGCAATATAACGTTATTCTACAACTTATGCTGATACTGGTTTGAAAATGTTCCCAATAATTTGAGTTAACCTACTCTAGCCCATTCTCTTATCAAGTATAACTATCAATTAGCTAAAATAGGTCACCCTGCCTTAGGTAGGAGTTCTAACATGTGGATTGAGGCTGCAAGAGAAACTAAATCACAGAATGTGATGGCTACAACAGCAGCTCTAAACATCTAGGTTGATCAGGAGCATGAGTCCATGTAAAAGGTCACTAATTCTTTAACTATCTAATATGTGCAGGAGGCAAACTGATTAAAAATTTGAAGCGTTTGTGCAGTATTTACTAATGCAAAACTAGATTGTAACCTCACCTCGATTGCACAAATTGCAGCTTTGAGTGATTGCAACTGTGAAGATAGGACTTTATGCCTTGGAAACTTATTAACATCCAAGTTTCCCCGACACGTGGCAGTATGAACTGCATATCTCTCTTCTAGATCAAAATCAAGCTCAAATGTGGTATGGCAAACCTTACAATGCTTCTCATCTCGCCAATAGAGGTCATGGCAATGTTCACATCTTGTAAGAGAATCAACATATGACCTTTTGCCATGCTTAACAGCATTTAGGTTAGAATAAAATGATTTCCATATCCATCTATCAAATGCTTGAGTAAGATTCCATCTATGTCTCTGTTGTTCTGCTTTCCTCATTTCAAAAACAACAGCACCAGAGGGAACATCCTTCTGAACTTCAATCAATGATAGGTTGTTGTCAACATCTGACACAGCTGACAAACTATCTTCTCTGGACGTATTCTGATCAGATTGATCAGAATGGTTTAGCTGCCCGATTCCAGCATCATTTACTACATTGGACATTGCTCGGCAGAGATATAGTTCTCGTTTCTCCAAGGACGACAAGAGGAAAGCCTCACGTTGACCCCTGCGATCCAGAGATGACACCAAACTACACAAAGCCTGCAATTATATCAAAACACGCTAGCAAAATTAAATTAAAAAAGGTGAAGCAAAAATCCATATAAAGGTAATAACGAAATCCAAAAAACAGTGAGTTTGTTTGGATAGGAGTTTATTTAGATAATTTATTTGAGATAATTACTGTAGCACTTTTAGCACTTTTTGTGATGTGATATATGTGAGATAAAAAAGTGATTAGGAAGATAAAAAGTGATTGAAATTTGTGAAGTAAATTTTTTTATTTCAAATCTTTCTAATCCAAACACACCCAGTACCTCTTCATTATCAATGAACTCCCAGTTTCCATCTTCGGAGGATTCAAAATAAATTCTCTTATGCCCAGGATCAGATCCATTACAAGGGCCCAAGAAAAGCCAGTATCTATTATACCTACGGTCGGAACCCAGATATATAGACTGCATAGGATGTAGGTCTTCTGAAGCTTCCATTTCTCTATTATCCTTTCTCATGCTACATGACCTCTCTCTCTCAGAAGTCTTTGACATAAGAACCAAAGAATCAATAGGATTAAGCACTGATGTTGAAGTAGCATCTCTGCCATTTGCACCACAATAGCCCCCAGCTTGTCTGGGAAAGTTATACTGCTTAGCTGTTGATCTCTTTATTTTTGCACCAGTACTATGTTGAGTCATATTGGGCACAAATGTAGTAATAGCTGCCACTGGATCCTGCTCAAAAGCATATATTCATTCAACATCCATAAACCATACAATGCATTTGTAAAATATAAGTAGCCTTAACAAACATGTGTCTTTACCACCGAACCAACTAATAGAAAAAAGACAATAAAATGAGCATATATCTGCAAATGAAACAACAAAAATGATTGTTAACAACTAGGAAACTGGGACTAGACAAAACATCTTATAACGTCTAAATGAAAGATGGACTACCTCTAGTCTAACACTGGATCCGGAACTGACAAGATCAATTAATGCCAGCAAAGCACACAGCTTCTCTTCAATGCTTAAATCTGAATATTCACCTTCCATGAGACCCAGCAACCAAACCTCCCCTGGATGGCTTTCATCAATTTCAGTGGAAACTGTCAGCATATTGTTAGACATATAATTTTTCCTTCGTCTTAGTTTATTTGAATGGGAACTCCTGGTCTCACACTCGGAGTCCTCAGCACTGCTGTGGCCCCCACCTGTATCAGAGTCATCATCAACACTTCCAAAGTCTTCAGAATCTGATACAAAGTTTTCAGATTCCTTGATAGCAGGATTAACACGCAAGCGATATCCAGAAGAAGAAATCCTTTCAAATAAGGTAATGTCACTAGACAGCGTCGAGCTTATTAAAAGTTCTAGCTTATCGGCTGTAGCAGCTATATTCAATTCTGCAATCTTCACAATAAAATAGATAATAAGTACTTACAGATAATTGACATCAAGAATGAAAACACTATTCGTCCTTTCCAGGATTAAAGTTTTTGCTACATTGACTTACTGATGGAATTTTTGTCAATTCAGAAACTTTCAGACCGTTATTTCCGTGGTTTAACAAGACACTAAATAGTTCACCCTTTAGCGTTCCAGGACTTAAGCCATATTTTGCCATAAGGCTGACTTCCTATAAAACAAAAACAAGCAAAAAAACTCATGAGAACAGAGAAAATAACACAATCAATAATCCATAACTGACAAACAAAAATCAACTCTTTTTTAACCACACTCCCACTCCCTCACCCCAAAAAAATAATAATAATACTCCTCCAAGTGGCAACCCTTTTTCCCCTGCCAATAGGGGCAGCCCGTTAATAGTTATAACTGTTTGTTTTTACATCAGGCTTAACAAAATATTATGTGACAGAAAACCAAACATATTTTCCAAAAATGTTTTAGCATTCCATCCTTCTCTTAAGTATGTGATGGCACAACAAGAATGAGCCAAGAAGAGAGTTTCTTTGGAAACTTAAAATACCTTGTTGCGAGCTTCCCTAGTTGATCTAACGCATTTGGAACCAAAACCAGCTGCAACTAGCACCTGTCGTAATATCTCAGTCCAAGTCAAGGCATTCAGCGCTCTTTGCCACAATTCCAGGAGAAGCTTTTCTTGATCAATCTGTCAAAATCATGGAAAAGAAGATATTTAAATTGTTAGAGAAGATTTATCCCACAAGAGGGCCTTGATGCCAAAAAACCATTGACATAAAGCAATTATGACCATACCTAATATCACAATGCTCGCTAGTGGTATGAGCCTCATTTCCTTTCATATTCACTTTTATTTATGCTTATAATTTGGGGAAATGGACATCGAATGATCAAGTTATTTGCTTAGGGACTAGCATTAGCATCAGTAACAAAAAGAGAACTGTTCAAAGTATCTGAAAACATGAAGACTGGGAAAATATGAAATGAAACAATGAAAATTCTTGGAAATATGTAAATTGCAGTTAATACAGTATACCAACACCTAACAAGCAAGCAAAAAACACTTTTCTTTTCTTTCCTCCATAATTTGCAGAAGATTTAGGTTAAGCTTTTTTTAAATATGGAAGGAATAGATCTCTCCATCTACATTCTGGTTCAGAGCATCCCCCACAAACATAACATGTACTGCTGTTGATTTATAGATGACATACACAACAGAAAGACATTAAAAGTCATGTAGCGTTTGATTGCATTTATGCAGCTTCTGTAGTTATGTTCAAGGGGAGCCGTTGCATATATATCCACAAAAACGTGATAAGAATAAAATCTATCACACCCTTCCACCAAAACGTTAAGGACTCATATGGAATACTTACTGAGTGAAGCAACTCCAAAAACTTGGAATTTTTGCTTGAATGAGAAAAAAATCCACTGTTAAGCTCCATTTCAATGTCGGATAAAAGAACCTTCAGAAGGGCTAAATGAACTTGACCAAGCAGCAAAGAGTCCTAAATGCCAAAAGAACTGGAAGTCATGAAAAATTGCAAAGCCCAATGACAACAGGAACCAATAAAATTTTATTACAAGCAACAGTCAGAACTCACCTTGTCCTGAAACCCTTGAGCAAACTCATCAAAAGTAAAGGAGCAAACACCAATTTTCAGAGCATACGTGCAAAGGAAATGGAAGACCTGCACAAAACAATCTCCTGTACTCAGCAAAGCGACAAAGTACTGTGTCTTTAATTAAATCCACCACTGGACGCTTCACAAACTGGAAATATGGGAAATGAAACTGTGCAAAACTAGAGAGAGAGAGAGAGGACTACCAATATATATATACATATACATACACAGCTAAGTGCATGCTTTATGCATTATTACAACTTCATGCAGATCCTAGATATTTTCGTAATTACGGATACAGATGCAGAAACATCCTTCTCATTTTATTTGATAGTGAACATTCCAATTCATAGAACCAAGGCTAGCATTTAAATTCTTGCCACATTACTATGTGTTTTCTTTTTATCCTGAATATCAAGCAGCTACTAGGCAGCCAAAGATCATTGTAAGACACAATTATAGCCAGCAAGTCATGGCAATGGAAAGATAAAAGATCTTAGTCATCGTTCCCAATTTTGAAAAACAACAAGGCAGATTAATGCTGAATAGAACATTAAATACCATCAGTCTACTATGTCTATTCGGATGAAAAGTTTGAAAGAGCTACAATTATCACGGGAATTCATTTGACGCCAGAGCATCACAGCAATAAACACTAACCCAGTTTTGCAATAAGGCTCAAAACACATGAAATCCAGTATGACAAGAAATTGATATGTTAAAGTAAAACTCATGTGCCATTAGTGGTCAATCAAAAGCCCAAGGTACTTGATTTGAAAGCACTAAATAGATGAAACAAAAAGTGAATTTCAGCCATCTACCTTAAAAAGTTTCTTAACAAGCTCTGGAGAAGAATCCCAAGGTTGTCCATACAGGGGTCGTTTCATTACAACAGAATCCGGAGGAAACTTAGCAAGCAAATCTAGCAGAGAATCACAAGAATACTCTTTATCAGATTTATTCTTATAGAAACTAGAGTAGAAAAATTTAAGAAGCTAATCACAGCGACGGACTGGGGTAGTAACCTTTGCAAAGGGAACAACCATGAGAACCATTAGTAGCAAGGTGTGCAGAGCAACTTAATGGATTTGGTCCAGCTTGCAATTCTTTGAGTTCCAGCTCTTCATCATCCTCCAGATTTACTAATTGGTCAAGGTTTTCTTCGCATGTCAATCCTTCAAGAGCCAGTTCACATTTTTCCTTGCGAGCCTGCTTCCGTTGTTCAAATCTCCCACTTGCACCCTGGAAATGTACCATAAAAGGTCTAAATGTAACTACTAATCCAACAGAAACGTCAATTAAAACAATCTCCTATCCAGGGAAGAGATATACCATGCCATGAATTTCCTTTCGACATCTTACAGAAGCCTTCTTCTTCTCCTGTAATCTTTTTCCTAATTTTCTCTGCATACAAAAGAACTTGCTTCATTAACATTTCGGATGGATAAGAGATTACATCAAAAGCCTAAAAGCTAGTGTCAAACAGAAATTTCAAAATTTGTCATTAAAAGATTCCTTAACGGAACTTGATTGAAGTGCCATTCCATTGTCCTATACACATCAATGTATTTGCTAAAAAACCATAATGCAAAAGTCTCCCTAACAAGTGTGGATTGAAACACTTTTAGAAATAAAATCTATTTGAAAAATTTATAAACCTATAAAATGTGAATAAGATGACTAACCATAAGAGACTGCCTCCGTTGCAAGCTCTTCTTTTTTGCTAGGAGAGAGAAATTTGAGAATGTAGAACTTCCAATACCAGTAGGAAAATCTCCACCATCAGGGTTAGTTACTCGCCAAACAGTCATTAAACCTTTCCCGATTCCATGTTTTTTCATAGGAGCGCTCTTCTTAGTCATCAAACCTTTCCCAATGCCATGTCTCTTTACTGGAGTGCCATTCTTGGCCATCAAACCTTTCCCAATGCCATGCTTAATTGTAGTACTTCTTGGCTCAGGACAAGCTTGGTAGTCCAAAGGTGTAGAAACCTAGATAAATGAAAAGAAAATGATATACAACAGCATAATCAAAAAATCAATTTAGATATTTCCTTCCCATACATCAGAATACCCAGAATTTTTTTCGGTACCTTTTGCCTTTTAAATGTTCTTTGGTTCTCTTGGCAGGTGCGGTGAGACTTTCTGGAGCCTGATCGCACATAAGCAGATCAATGACACGAGTCAGGTAAGCACAACGATAGATATCCACATTGACATACACTACATAACAATAAGAAACAAGCAATATATTATATAAAAATAAGTATGATGGTAAAGCATGTATAAACTCAAAGCAGCGTGAATTATAGGTTCACCTGCTGGTCACATAAACTGTCAAAGAGCCACAAACAGATTACTTTATCTCCTTCATTTTATGGTTGCGTGGGAGAAAACGGGGCATTGCAAGTTCTAACTATCTAGTAAATTAAATTTGTGTGGTTTCACATCCAAGTCCCAATATGCTGCTGGACGTAAACAAGATAAGGCAACAGCATCCTCAAGTAAAATATTTCAACCTTTTTAGTAATCAGAAGCCTTACAATTTCACAAGCCCAGGATCAAATTACTGTTACAATCAACAGTAAAATTCAAAATTTTCTTGATATCCATATATAGATAACGTACCAACTGGATTTAAAATACTACAAATGATCGATAAAGAGTTCCAAACGCGTAAATATCAATCTTTTTGGCTATGAAGAATCCTTATAAATTGCACAACTAACCATTTTACTTGACGCAATGTCAACTGACTCGGGAACTTCATGAATTGAAAATGTTACCCACACAGTCATCAATTATTCGAACCATAGCCTAAGTAGACATACAATAACTAATTTCTTGTATACATCAACGATAGAATACTCCCGCGATTAATCCCAAAAATTTCAAAACAAATACTTATTTCAAATAGAAAAACCAAAATCAAGACTCCCACCTGGCCTGCAATAACGAAAGGCATTTTCCGGAAGGGAATCGAACTCGAAGCCAAGAGCGGGGCCATCCTTCCTAAAAATCTTCTGAAGAATATAATCTGAATTAAACAAAACCTCCTGAAGCCTTAGCCGATAATCATTTTCATTCATAAACTTTTGCTGCTGCTGCTGCCTTTTTCCCGCCTTTTTACAGTTTCTGTGATTACTATTACCATTACCTCCATTTTTAAATGCACACTCATCAAAATTCTGCTTATTACCGCCCTGCTTTTTCCTCTTTGTAGCCATGGATAGAGAATTGATGCCTTCTTTAATTACAGTTTTGAACTAGCCATGAAATTTATGGGGGGATTGAGTGCCGTAGGGGCCTAGGGTGGGGATAAGGAAAAAAGTTTCAGTTTCTGTGACTGTAACACTGTAAACGAGTAGAGAAGTGGAGAAGAGAGAGAGGACAGGGGGTTTGGAGAGTAGGGTTTTGGGGGTTTTGGTTGAGGATTTTTTTGAGATGATTCTTTTATACTTTTTTCCTTTTTTTGGCCTTTTTTCTTAAAGGAAATATCTTTGCTTTGAACCGGGCTCAGTTGGGTAAAAGAAGTATTGGGCGAACCGGCTCTAAACCAGCCCAATCTTTACTTCTTCGCAAATTTGCAATAAGGTCCCCTGAATGATTGTGTAATCAAATTGTAGTCTTCTCTTTATCTGATTATTGCAGATAACCCCCACTTAGATCGATTGCATCCTTCAAGTTGTGAAATGGCATTGATCCTTTTTTTTTCCCCTTTCTACCAATGGTGTTAATCCTTTTTTTCCCTTTTTTTTCACCCTCCTATCCATTCTCACGTTCTTCATACCCTAAACAATCAGACACAGAATTCAAATTTTGAACCTGACAGAGAAAAAAACTCTAAAAACCTTTTCCTAATCTTGATCCCACGATATAAATGCCAATATTGTCCCATTTTGCTCTTCATCTCTAATATATTATTCTTTTCCTATTATCCAATTATCATTAGAATCATTGTACCAATGTCAAGTGATTTGTGTTAGTAAGTTTTAGCAAGAAATTTTTGTGTGGGTTCAATTATTTAAACTCAATGGTACATCTTGTTCTTTAATCGTAGCAAATAATTTTAGTGTAGGGCCAATTATCTAAATTCAATTGTATATCATGTTCTTTAATCGTCAACAAAAAGATGGTACCATGTACAATTTTTAAACAAAATCACCTCAATGTTAATGTATAATTTGCTAATCCTCGAAACACTTTCCTGTAAACGCAACATTGTTTATGTATGAAAATGTAGAATAGATAATATGAAGAACATGTGTCAACAATGAAATTCATTAAAGCTTCTCCCCCATAGATGACTTGGCCTCGGAATGAATAGTGTCGAAAATAATTAAGGTGATTGCTTGTGTGGAAACAGTACTGGAAATTCAAGAAAGAAAGACTAGAGCAAAAGAACAAGATATATAAGGATCATTCTAGGATCATCTTCTTTACTCTCCTTTCTTTCTGTTGTGTTGAAAGCGTGCCATAGAATGATATATAAGGACATTGTGCTGTGTTAGTTGTTGAAATATATATATATATATATATATATATATATATATATATATATATATTGTTACTGAAATGATAGTTTTTTATTGATGGAAAGCTAAATTGTACAATTTTTGAGCAAAAACTGCATACTAAACTTTACAATCGTGTCATAGAGGAATCCAGCATTCCTCATCTTATGTTAAGCTAACAGCATATTTGCTAATCATTCTATTTCTTATACTACTCTCATTCGAGGACAAAATAAATGAGTATTTCAAAAACAACAATCTTAAACTGTGAATGTCCTCCAGTTGAGCAAAAATTCTGATATCTTTAGTTTTCTTGGTCTTCAAAAGATGTAGCAACTTCTGTGATGAAATTTCCAGTTTAACCTCTTGACATTGCTGGTCCATCGCTTTGCTCAGTGCCAGTTTGAGAGCTTGTGCATAGTTCAGCAATATTTCGTCTGTACTTCATTCTCTCAAGACCCAAACATCTTGTGTATTATCAGCCTTCAAAGCTATGACGCATATTCCTAGCGCCTTGTTTTACTTCTGGCTGTTGATTTCAATACTTATATGTTCCTGTGATTTCCATCATCAGTGTTTGTCGGTGCTTCCTGCTCCACTGTTGTTGTTTCCTGAATGCTCGTTCGTTTATCCTTTTTCTGAGCTCCTACAAACTCCATCCACTCTGATTGAGCTTTTTGTACACTTTCAAAAGGGTGTCGAACTGTTGATGTTTACCATTAAAGATGTTGTCATTCCTTGCTTTCCACAGATGCCAAAGAATATTAACTATAAGCACTATGTGGCTAGCACCTCCGACTCTGCTTTTTGCTTCCAATAGGCCACTCCACCATTTGCTAAAGTTCCCTCTGCAGTGTGTTAAGCCTTCCCACTACAATGGTGCTATCCTCCAAACCTGCTATGCTTTGTTGCCCAAAAAAAAAAAAGGAATAGGTACTCTACAGTTTCCACATCTTCTCCAGAATTGTTGCATATTGGCTCTTCCTTTCTGGTTCTACTGTATATAAGCTCATTCACTGGCAATGCCTTATTCGGGCATCTCCAAATGAATGTCCTTAGCTTACTTTTCATGTCCAATTCCGCTCCTTTTTATTTTGGCCAGTTGAGTTTGGCTCATCCCTTTCATTGTGTCTCTCTTGATTCGCTCCTTCTTCCCTACTCAGAGCTTTGTAAAATGATTTCACAGAGTACTGACCATTGCTGGCCTGTTTAATGTCCACAAACTGCCATCTTCTCTCCCTGCTAGACTGATTGAGATTTTCAAAATTTTTGAGGCATCCTTGATGTTGAAGCTTCCAAAAACTAGTGGTTTATTCCGCCTGCAGTTAATGATCAATTCTTCCACTTTTTGGAGGTTGCAGATGTGAGGCTTCCTTGTTGGTAGTAGTTTGCCATTGTGACTGCCAGGTGGTCAACTGTCCTCCCATATTCTAGTACAAAATGGTGAGAATTCAATTCACGTGCACACTGGTTTGGATTGAAATTTTTAAAGAAATTTTTTTTTTTTTTACATGATCATATTTTTTAATTATTTTTTTATTTTACATATATTAAATTATTTATTGTAGCATATTTTTACAAAAATTCCGTAAAATAACAGTCCAAAAATCCAAACATTCTCCAAAGTTGAAAAAGGCCTAAGCCGGAGGTGTCAAATAACCACGTGGATGTCTCGTGCTAACCATTAAAACTGAAAGGACGAAAGGAAGGCAAGAAGCATAAGAGTAACCGGGTACTTTGTGATTTGTGAACAAAAGACAATCACGGGGGGCATAATCAGGAGGTGGAGTGGAGTGGAGTGGAGTGGATTGCAGGCATCTCTGCGAATCGGGCAGGAAGATCCAACCAAGATCCAATTACGGCATTGGTACTGGCTGAAGTCACTAATGCACTAAAGAAGAAGCAAGCTTTATAATTGGAAATGGTAAGACAGTGACAGCCTTCCCAAATCTCAAAATTTTTTGGTCTGTTTCCGGAATCGCCTACTTACTTCAGGCAGACATTACTTGCTGATCTCTTACTCAGTTTCTTGACATCTCAAGAAACCCTTTTTTAGATATGAAGAATATTTCACACTGCATTGTTTTCATATCCGTAGTTTATTATGCTAATACAAAAGAAGGAAAAGAGCCACAAATTGCTAGCTCAATAGTTTGGGTTTTATCATATGGGTATCTACTGGGTTAGAGTTGGATCAATGCAGGTAAGAAAATTCAGATAAGCTTGGGATGTAGATAAACATTAATTAATTATGGAGAATTATATGGCAACTTTTTTCCAAAACCAGATTTGTTATGCTTAAGTTTTCGGAATTTTGGGACACACAAGAACTGTCAAGAAGAAATGCGTTAACCGTGGAATGTACATTGCCATCAATTTGCTTAGTTATGAGTGACTGTGTGGTATATGTGACTTGAGGAACTCCGTTGCATCCAAGTTGCTCTTGTTAACTCGTTGAATCTTGGAATAAGTGGTTCAAAAGGAAATGGTAACAACTAACACTCATGGGCCTCATGGTTTATGTAATTGGAAGGAAATGAATAAATGATTATTACTTGAAAAGATTGAATCTGTGTGGCCTCTTCTCTGCTGTGAAGAATATGGAGTTCCCAAGCTGTCTGTGTTGTCATTTATTAGGAGATTGTATGGAAATATATACTGGATCTTTTGTGCTTAGGATGGTTAGAGATTGCAAGCTAGCGACTCTCCCCCATGTAATGTAACTAAAATTTTTGTGCTTTCGGTAGGAAAAGGAAGCAAAGAAGGAAGCTTTCAGGAAGTATTTGGAGTCCAGTGGAGTTCTTGATGCTCTGACCAAAGGTTTTGGGCTACTTCTGATTTCCTCCAGCGTGCAGTAGTAAAATTAATAATTCCATTCCCCAATTCTCTGACTAAGTATTTTTGTATTTCTCTGGCACGTTGTAGTTCTTGTCGCGCTATATGAACAGAGTGATAAACCTTCCTCAGCGATGGAGTAAGTGTGATCAAGCTCGCCCTATATTGCAATTGTTTGCTTGACTTTGAGTAACTGTTTCCCTATATGACTGTAAAAAGAGCTTATATCCTATATTACTTGATTTGCAATAACTAGCAATCAGCGAAAGTATTGACGTGATTGTTCATGGCTCTGTTGATGGTCCATCTTCGAAACCTCTGTATACCGAACTGGAGCTGCATCAATCATATGAGTTGTCATGTTCAATTATTACTGGACATGTCTACCATGCTTCCATCTCCTCATTGACAAAATACCATTCCTTTCAATTATGTTCATGTTCAGATTGGCTTCCCCTTGGCAGGTTCATCCAACAGAAATTAGGTGGTCCAACTGTGGCCGAGTATGAAAAGCTACGAGCTGAAATATCTGATTTGCAGATAAGATTTAATGAGCTTTCGGCAGCACACCAAGATAAATGTAGGGAGGTATTGACTTACTTCTTTTTCTGCTTTAGTTGTTTGTGCTGTTTGCTTCTTACTGTCTGCCAACCCCATTTATTCTCTTTCCATTAAGACTGGGAATCAGGAACCTTGATTGACAAATAGAATACATTCATGCCAAATCATGGACCAAATGTTCTTGAGAACCTTGAATTATCACACTCGGTCGACTCAATATCTCTCTTTGTGCAGTTTCTTATTATATAATCTCTTATGAGATATGCTCATATTCGAAAAGAGGTAAACTCAACCAAATAAATGCACACATCAGCTTAACTTCTGCGTCTGTCCTTAAGAGCAGGTGGATTACGCAGATTTCTCATTCACTATTAAGATTTCTATCAATGTTAAGTTTCCTGGCTGGCATATACGCATCTACTCTGCAATTAGGATGCCAACGTACCTTTCTAGTCGTAGATTGTTAGAGGAATCCTCCTGAGGTGCATACATTTGGCTGTTTCATGGAATCATGGCTATGCACATGTCTCTCTAATGGATCAGAACGAATTTGAATTGATATCTTGCCTGTTTATCCATGCTTGGCAGCTGGAAGAATTGAAGAACTCACATGCAGAGGGCTCTTCCAAACAGATGATTGAGGAGGGAGTTTCAAAAGAAGATACTTGAGAAAGTGCAACAAAATTTAACAGTTTGTGAGGAGTGTACATGTATCTGTAATGGATCTATTTCGTAAAACAGTGTGATGTGTATGCCGGTTTCTTAGTTCTATTTTATTCATCTCTTATCTACTGTGATCTGTGAGAGATCATTGCTGCATCGGTTTGTCTGCTAACTGGAAATATGGCAAGCAAAGCTACTGACATGTATCACCTTGACTCGGTCCATCAATTTTGTCTATACCACTTCTCCAGCACTGCACTCCTGAGGCTTACCGGAGATCAGTCCTCCTTCCGATTCTTGAACCCTGTATTAATTATGCTTCAAAAAATTTCGCGACAAGAAGCGTCTTCCCTTAAAGAGTTCAATAGTCACCATCAGAGGCCACTTTTGCTGAGTTGAAACCATCAGCTCATGGCTTCTGTGGTGTTGCGTTTCATTCGATTGACCTACACTTGGTACTCAACGGCCATGATAGTCCATGGAAGATGATGAGCCTTCAACCACCCAAACCATTATCAACAGTACGGTTGCTCGCACCTTCGGGGTAACGTAAGAATTAAAGTATTTTAGCAATGATTAGGGGAGGATTACCGTGCTGACAAGAGACATAAAGGGGCGCCCACAAGTTTTGAGAAATTAAAAAGGTGTCAGAATATTTCTTTGATTTAGACAAGTTTTCATATCATCCATAGCCTCTTTAAATTCCTCTTCCTCTACGTTTTAGGATGGATTAGGTTGGGGAAAAAAAAAAAAGGGTTTTGAATGAGAATTTGATGACAATCAAATCAATTGGCACAGGGGAAAACTTGACGTGTCTGAAATAGATTCGAGGCTGGCTAATAACGTTTATAATCAGCCTCGCGTAATGACGAATTCCAATACAGATGGACCACTGTGGCTTTTACAAATACCACTTGAAAGGACTCGGGGCACTTTTACAAATACCACTTTTACAAATCCCCGGCGGTTTTGGTCATTATCAACTGCGCGTAATTTTCTTTGTACATTATGTAACTTTTTGTGCACATTGCGTAACTTTAAAGCAAATTTTTATGGGACCCACACGTGACGTGAAAATCGAGTTACAACTTGTAATCTCAGCCGCACAAATTTTTGAGACCAAATCAGGACCATTAACGGTGAAGGGACGTCCCTGCCCCATTTCCCACTTGAAATTGTATCCTGTCCCATGTTGGATCCTTATGATTGCCATCTACTACTAATTCACATGACTTTATCCCTCCTTGTATCTGTCTAAGCAAGATTGATGCCATTCTTTCCTTTGAGCAATTTGAAGTTACTTTTGGAGTCTCCATTTGGACAGACAAATGAATAAGCAACTGTTAGTGAATGAAAGGAAGTTAACTTCTTTGATAATTCGTGGAATTTGACAGTTCAATTGCGGTAATTTTTTGTTAAATTAAGGGGGTAATACTTATCTCGTCTGCACAAATTACTGCTTGCTTTTTCTAATGTGAATAAAGATTCCTAGAATCGGCACAAATATGCATACCGTCCGAAGAACAGAGTGATATATTGACACCTCAAAGTCGAGTGATTTTGTAGTAATCTTATGAAAATTTAGAAAGGAATCAATTGGACTTGTCTCGACCTTTGAATTCTATATGTTTTTAACTAAACATCTTATCTATCATCATTTGAAAAAATTTAGAAAACAAAAATTAATCCCTAACTATTGAAGGTTTCTGTCGCTTTCATCCTCAAAATAATATTTTTCTTCCAAATAAACAAACAATTTCAAAGCTGGTTGGTGACTGGACACATGGATAATCAAAGTTCTTACGTGTAAGGTATATATATAATATAGTTTATCAATTCGAGAACATAATGAAATACCTAATATTTACTTTTGAGGGAAAAAAAAACTTCGAACTTGTCAGGCTAATCTTTTTTGTTTTCTTGTTCCCCAAACTAATAAGAAGGTCTCAAACTTTAGCTTAAAATATATATATAAGAAAAAGAAAAAGAAAAAGATTTAAACGTGTTTATCCACATTAAATCCATACATATCCCCATCGTCAGGCAAATCTACAGTAGACATATCAAATCCCAATTCCAATACCTAGAAAGGTCTCCGGATAAAGTCAAATAACTTCCTCGGCATCCAACGGCTGAGAAAAACCACCAACCCCACAATCAACGGTTCAAAAGGCACAAATTTCCCGAAAACAATAAAGCCCTAAAATAAAACAAATACCTCAAAAATCATCAGGAAAAAAGAAAAGAAAATAAAAAATTTCCCAAATCCAAAATCTCACACACTACACGCACTATCATGGACCCTAATGAAAGTAGTGAACTGAGCTCTTACTTTCACCACCCTCAACAGCCACCACCACCCTCACCTCTCAACCCCACCGCCCCTACCACCGCCGTGGGATCAAACACCTCTCCCACCAATGGAATTCTGCCGAATACTTCTAATCCCGCTGCCAGCACCACCACTACAACTTCTTCGCCGTTGGTTTATGGGACTGTCCCCTCCGTGGTGACGTCTGGTGGTGCCGGATTGGATTCTGGGAAGAGGAAGAGAGGAAGGCCTAGAAAGTATGGGACCCCTGGTGAAGCCGCGGCTGCTAAGCGGCTCTCTTCGGCTTCTACTGCGGCTTCAATTTCTCCGCCGAAGAAAAAGGACTTGGGTTTTGGCGGTGGCGGTGGCGGGTCTACTTCTTCGGCTTCTTCTAAGAAGTACCAGTTAGCCGCTTCTGGTAATAATCTCCTAAAGAAAAAAAAAAGAAGAAAGAAAAAGACAAAAGGGGAAGGAACCCTTTATATATGTGATTTTTTTTCGGTTTATATTATTTATACCTTTACTGCATTTTATAGATGAATTTTGGGAAATTAACGAGGCCCTTTAATTTGTCCTTTCGGTGCTTGTTTTGGAATTGCATTGGAACTCTGTGGACGAAGAAACCCTTCACTTATTGGTGGATTATTTGTTCAAAACTCGTGCCTTACTGCTGTTTGATATATGAACTGTAGAAATCAAGCAGGCTGTCTTATATGTCTAGTTTTCTAAATTCTAGAAGTAATAGAAAACTATAGTGTTTTTTGGCTGGTATTTAATTTGTATTTTGCTTGTAGGACCCGTTGGTAGTATATAGTAGTATTCTATGTTGCAGTGGCTGCAAGACTTGTCCACCTTCCCTTCCCCCCCCCCCCCCCTTGCCTCTCTCTCTCTCTCTCTCTCTCCATTACTTCCCATAGCTAATTTATGATAAACTTGGAATTTGGGCTGGGACATGCTGTAACTACCTGTACCAAATTGCTTTATCAACTATTGTAGTGTCTATTTTCATTTTTTTTAAGGCTTTGGACCGCATGAGTTGCTATACATGAATTTTGCTTGTGGGTATAGTAAGGACTGTTAGAGGACCTGAGTGAAAGCAAATTTATGCAATGGTCAATGGTCACATGTTTTTGGCAGATCACTGAGTGTTTATTGGAATGATTCATGCATGATAAAGAGCTTAGGAGTGGGACTCTACATATCTGATGGAACCTAATCAATTGTAGGTTGATAAAAGATGTTTCTGTAGATTATGCAGTGCATTGTTATTCCCTCAGTTTTAGATTTAAAAAGATGCAGAACAAAGTTTGCAGGATGTTTGAAAGTCTTTATATGGGTTTCTACAATGGCCCCATAACTGGTGGCGTTGTGCAGATTGGGTGTTGGATGTAGTAATACTTTTATCTAAGTGTGAGGTGAAAGAGGGGTTTGAGATTCTGATTGCCGGCATTATCTCTTCCTCAAAAGATGCAGTAATCTCACACTTATTGTTATTTTCCAGTCCGTCTATTCTTAGCTGCTTCTCTAGGTACGAGTGGGAATTAAAATATTGTGGAGGAAGTCTTAAATGCTGCTGTTCAATTGACACCAAAAGTATGGAAACATAATTTTTGTTCTAATTTGAGTAGAAAATTGATATAATAATTTTTGTTCTAATTTGGAAACATACTTTTTGTTGATTTCTTGTATTACTTGATGCTTGAAGTTGATTACTAGTATAAATTCATTTGGTGTATTGTCCATAGGAAATTCTGTACATAAGCTGAAAACTGTATATTTTCACGCTCATCTGAAAAATTGGTAGGATTTCCTAGTTTTCTTCCTATAAAAGGAATACTGAGCACTTGCATTCTAGCTTCTCTTGTCAAGAGACATTCACATGGTGCCATACACAACTGGTATCAGCGTCACAAATTTGATGTGGTATTCAGCTCTCTTGCTTTTAGCTGCATAGGGTTTGTACCGATGTTATCCGGACTCGTCATTCACCCCAGGTGCACCCGTGTCGACACGATATGACACGGGTATGGGTACGGAATCCGTACCTGATATGGTAAAAATTTTTTGGATGCATTGACTTTTGTGAGATGTGTGAGATGTGATGTTGATGGCGGAGGAGAAGGAGAGATGGACAAGAAGTGACATGAGATGGGAAGAGAGTGGAAGAGGAAGAAGGGTGGCTCTGGGGAGGAGAACTGCTAGAGAATTGAAAAGGAAAAAACTCACGACACCTGCTGTATTTTTGCTTCGAATGTATGGGCTGCTAACTCTCTTTCATTGGAGGGTGTGGAATTGTGGTAATGATGGCATATAAGTGTAAGAGCGTCTTGGTTAATTTGAGAAGAGGTGCTCTGTTTTGATTCGCTTGAACGCTTTGTAAATGAGGTGACGGCAGTGCTGATTGAGCGATGAGGAAGATAGGATTTGACAATGATATTTATTTTGCAACTAAATCCCTGTATTTTGACTTTAATTATCTTTTTCAACAACTTAATTTCTTTACAAGTTTTCCCTTTTTAATATAAATGCAGCCTCTCATATTTAAAAAATTTACCTTTCTAACTAAGCTTATGGTTCTTTTCAACCTAATTTTGCACATTTAATTGAACTTTTTATTAAAATACACTTGATACATCATTGTGCATAAATTTTAGAATGATTTATATCTAAAGATCTTATCCACACCCATACCCAAAATTAGACACATATTCCCGAATCTTACAATTTTCAAATATTTGAATCTGACACTTTGACACGCACCCATATCTGACACCTGCACCCAAGCCCATGTAACATAGGTATGTATGTGGTTATCTTCTTTGATCATCAGCTGTTTAAATGTGATTTTGTTTCCTCTGGTTCTTTTATTTGCTTATAGCTACTCCATTGTAGGTTAAGCTTCATTTTTTAATTAATTTAATTAGAA